GTTTGATTGTCAGGATTGTCATCGGGGGACTACCTGGATTGTCAGGGAATAAACCAATATATAATTAATACAATAACAATATATTTATACAGGGGAAGGTGAGGAGTCCCTTTAAAAGGTAATTAAGCCCCTCCCACAACTCCAGGCAATGCCTTAACATTTGTGTTCGAGGTACAAAGGCTGTATTGAGTTAAAGTGAGAAAATTATGAATAGCGTAATACATAATGGAAGAAGTTGGTTGTGGTGTGCCAGAACCGACAATGCGGTAGGCCTGTAAATAAAGAGAACAAAAAGATATACATGCAAATATTTAATAAAAATCAACACTCAACATAACTACTTATATACAATGTTATTTTGATAAAGGTTTGACGGAGTTCCTATACTGGTGGTGGAATGTACCATGAATAGGCTGAGGACTTCCAGCGACCTAATGTTTTAATAATGTGGACTGGTAAATGCCTGCTTGAAGACATAGATGATGCCCCTATTCTGAAAGAGTGACCAGAATAATGGAAGGGTTAAGGCCTGGTCTCATTATTAATGTTCTGACATAATGAATTTGGCTGTTGTAAGGACTGACCCATGTAGTAATAGTATAGGTTGTGAATGGTGGTTGCAAAGGTTGAGTAAGTAGGAGTCTAATACTTTTACCGCCCTCTATTTGTTTTGAGTAGGGTAGTATGGGATAGCTACATGCTGACTTGTTTCCATGTGGGGTAGGGAAAGTATGTATGTGTATAAATATATAATAATATATATATAAAACATACAAAATCCAACGACTAACCCATTTACCATTTGAATGCTCACAGAATGTACTAGTTTTTTTTAAACACCTAACCTAGGTGAAAACAATAGGGGTTTAGTTACAGAATATGATTATATACACACACACACACATACACACACATACACACATACACACACACACACATATAATTCCCCCAAATACCACCAGGTTACCACCAGACAGAGTTTTCCATATGGTGGTAACCTGGTGGTATTTGGAGGATTTTTTTGCGGTTCACATGTGGTTTGCTGATATACAGTTTGCACTGTTTAGTCTAGATCACATACCACAGACATTACCTTTGTCTAGGGGGAGGGAGATTCACTCTTAGTAAGTTCCCACATTAGTTTGCTATTTATTGATTGTATTTGATTCACACAACACTGTGAACATACATAATAAAAACTACATGTGCTTGGGTGTTCCCATATATATTTATATTTACATTTGTTTACCTTTGGACACAGACAAACTTATTAATATATAGTTTCTTTTATCACGTTGTATGTTTTTATGTCAATAAATGTGTATGGTATTAAATGAGATTTTTTTTTTATTCCTTAGCTGGCATTTCAATTTCATTTAAAATAAATAATAAGGAAATTATTTTTGATTGCAAATACTTGTATTTTTTTTTTTTTTTTAGATGGAAAAAAATGTCATTCGTCCCTCAAGTACAAAATTAATTTCAAGTGATCCCACAGGTACTTTAACAAACTGAGGAAATATAACTATGTTGCAAATGTTGCTTATGATTATTAAATGGAGTTTTCTTCATCAATATTTCATCAGCGTTTATACACATTATTTTTCAATATCATTATATCATGTTTTAGAGCAAATATCCTCAACAAAATTATCTAGACATTCTAGAACGTGGGTAAAATACGTTTTTGTTGGTTCACCTCAAGGCCTGATTTCTCACTGAGACCTTGATAAGAAAAAACAATAAACATTTTGGATTTGTCTCAAATAAGCAAAAATCCTTTCCTAACTTGTTTACGATCAACACCACCTAAGCTAAATTTAGTTGTTGAAGTACTATATATCAATATTTCCTAAAGGATATATAAACTATATTTAAAGTAAATTATGTTAAACTATATGTATTCACCTCTTGTCTCTCTCATTATTATTTTGTATGCCAAATCATTATCAAATAAGTCCATTATATAACTGTAAAGCACTACATACATATGCATTTATTATTATAATGTGTAATGTTAGGAAGAAGAATGCAGGTGATTTGAATGTTATTGTTTTTGAACTGACCACAAGATGGCCACTTGGTGGTAATAAAACCTGCAAATAAGTTAATTATTGGTGGGAAATCATATAATATTATTTTCTATTAAATCTTATATCTGCTCACCATAAACAGTAAAAATATTTAAAAATTGGACCCCAGTCTGCCAACGGGTTACATTATTTAGTGGCAGTTGTTTTTGACTCTCTTTCATCTTAAGATCTAAGGTTTAAGTACCTTAATATTTGACATTGATTAAATAAATCAGTTTACATTTAACAATTACCCATGACAATTTACATATGACAAATTTTACTTTTTATTAAATGTAATTCTATACAGCTATAGCACATTAGGACACAGCTGCCTAACCATTGGAACTTGGAAGTATACCTAAGTTATGTAAAATCAGATGCAATTATATGATTCTCATTGCCCTAAATATAAAATAGAAATATACAAGCATTTAAAAACCACACTAAATAAAATAAAAACAAACATGCAGAATCTCAACACAATATAAATGTGCATATAGAAAAGCAATGATCACTTATCATTAAATACTGTCTTGGAAAAGTTTTGTAACAGTATTTTAGTAGTTAACAGTTTAAGGTGTAGAATCATTAATCAAATATGTATTCTGTGAGTCGGGTGATGTAACATTGATGGGAATATAAATGACAACCGAAAGTCATATTACAAGTATTTTAATAACCAGCAATACCAGTTAAAATACTACATGGAGAAAAACATACAAGGCTTACATAAGAATAAATGGGAGGGGATATCCAATTTAACAACTGGAGCTAGCCCCTATGAGATAACATTTGGCTTAAAAAAATAACAACAAAGGTCCCACACTTAGGCACTATAACCATTTCATCTCATTGACTTAGTTATAGTGCCTGTAGTCCCCTGGCACTGTACCTCAATTCAGTGTTAAACCATTTTCGAGCAGTTTAACCTTTAACCATACCTTTTATGCTTCCTTCTAGCCTTCCATCTAGCCATGCCGATTGATACCTAAATAGGCACTGTAGTGAGAGGGATCAGGGGAGGGGGGGGGAGGGAGGGAGAGTGAGTAGGTTTAGCAGTTTTTTTTCTTATTGATAGTAAAGTTTAGTCTCACCTCCCTGCCTCTTACCTGTGGCCTGGGAGTGGGGGAACTAGTTTCTCTTCTGGGACAGCATGCTAGTATTGTAAAGATGAGAGTCTTTGACTTACGACAGCCAAGCAGCAGGTTGGATTCCCTTGTGTTCCGCCCAGATGTGGCAATGCTCTGACAGCTGAAGTTTACAAATAGATACTGCAAAAAGGAGGAATTTGGAGTGTCCTGGGCCCCCTGTTCATTACAGAAGCCAGCATGGCCTACAAGTGTATATACACTGCTCAAAAAAATAAAGGGAACACAAAAATAACACATTCTAGATCTGAATGAATTAAATATTCTTCTGAAATACTTTGTTCTTTACATAGTTGAATGTGCTGACAACAAAATCACACAAAAATAAAAAAATGGAAATCAAATATTTCAACCCATGGAGGTCTGGATTTGGAGTCACACTCAAAATTAAAATGGAAAAACACACTACAGGCTGATCCAACTTTGATGTAATGTCCTTAAAACAAGTAAAAATGAGGCTCAGTACTGTGTGTGGCCTCCACTTGCCTGTATGACCTCCCTACAATGCCTGTGCATGCTCCTGATGAGGTGGCGGATGGTCTCCTGAGGGATCTCCTCCCAGACCTGGACTAAAGCATCTACCAACTCCTGGACAGTCTGTGGTGCAACGTGACATTGGTGGATGGAGCGAGACATGATGTCCCAGATGTGCTCAATTGGATCCAGGTCTGGGGAAAGGGCGGGCCAGTCCATAGCATCAATGCCTTCGTCTTGCAGGAACTGCTGACACACTCCAGCCACATGAGGTCTAGCATTGTCTTGCATTAGGAGGAACCCAGGGCCAATCGCACCAGCATATGGTCTCACAAGGGGTCTGTGGATCTCGGTACCTAATGGCAGTCAGGCTACCTCTGGTGAGCACATGGAGGGCTGTGCGGCCCCCCAAAGAAATTCCACCCCACACCATTACTGACCCACTGCCAAGCCGGTCATGTTAGAGGATGTTGCAGGCAGCAGAACGTTCTCCACGGTGTCTCCAGACTCTGTCACGTTTGTCACATGTGCTCTGTGTGAACCTGCTTTCATCTGTGAAGAGCACAGGGCACCAGTGGCAAATTTGCCAATCTTGGTGTTCTCTGGCAAATGCCAAACGTCCTGCAAGGTGTTGGGCTGTAAGCACAACCCCCACCTGTGGACGTCGGGCCCTCATACCACCCTCATGGAGTCTGTTTCTGACCGTTTGAGCAGACACATGCACACTTGTGGCCTGCTGGAGGTCATTTTGCAGGGCTCTGGCAGTGCTCCTCCTGTTCCTCCTTGCACAAAGGCAGAGGTAGTGGTCCTGCTGCTGGATTGTTGCCCTCCTACAGCCTCCTCCACGTCTCCCGATGTACTGGCCTGTCTCCTGGTAGCGCCTCCATGCTCTGGACACTATGCTGGCAGACACATCAAACCTTCTTGCCACAGCTTGCATTGATGTGTCATCCTGGATGAGCTGCACTACCTGAGCCACTTGTGTAGGTTGTAGACTCCGCCTCATGCTACCACTAGAGTGAAAGCACCGCCAGCATTCAAAAGTGACCAAAACATCAGCCAGGAAGCATAGGAACTGAGAAGTGGTCTGTGGTCACCACCTGCAGAACCACTCCTTTATTGGGGGGTGTCTTGCTAATTGCCTATAATTTCCACCTGTTGTCTATCCCATTTGCACAACAGCATGAGAAATTGATTGTCACTCAGTATTGCTTCCTAAGTGGACAGTTTGATTTCACAGAAGTGTGATTGACTTGGAATTACATTGTGTTGTTTAAGTGTTCCCTTTATTTTTTTGAGCAGTATATATATGGTATTTTGGCATCATATATAGAGAGAGAGTACAACTCTCTCTCTCTCTCTCTCTCTCTCTCTCTCTACATATATATATATATATATATATATATATATAGAGAGAGAGAGAGAGAGAGAGAGAGAGAGAGTTGTACTCTCTCTCTATATATGATGCCAAAATACCATATATATACTGCTCAAAAAAAAATATATATAGAGAGTTGTACTCTCTCTATATATATGATGCAAAAATACCAGAGTATTCTGATTATTGGGTCCATGTACACTGGGCTCCTCAGACAGCCCAGGGCCCATACAGTTGTACTGGCTGTACCTCTCAGATGGCTGAGCTGATTATTAGACCAATGAAGAATCTCAACATATGTCTCTCTCCCCAAAAGCATATAATGCCTTCTATAGATAAACTTTAACTAAAGGGGCTTGGCAAACAGTCCATTCTGCCTATATTTCATGCTTGATGAGATAGAAGTTATTGATTAATAAATGACACACATCCCAAAACTACAAATGTGGATCAGGCCCCACTAAATTTGCAAAGACCAAATATAGAGAAGTTCAATTTTAGACCTGTACCTATTAGTGTAATTAAGAAACACCTTAATAATCTAAAAATGAAAAACCTCTGGACCTGATCAAATCCCAGCAATGCTGTTGAAGCTCAGTGCTCCGGCAATTGCTAAGCCTGTCACAACCCTAATAAATGAATCCTTGGTGTCTGGATACATATCCAAACTTTGGAAGAGTAGTTCCTGTCCATAAAAGTGGTGACACTACTTTGGTTTCTAACTATCGCCCAATATCATTGCTACCAGTATTGTAAAAAAATCTTAGAAAAATACGTTCATACACAACTATGTTAGTATTACCAAAAATCTAACTATCTGACCCCTGATCAATTGGGTTTTCGCCCGAATCACTCCACTACAACTGCCTTCTTAAAAGTTTGCAATGACATCCAAACTGATATGGAACTATTTTCCTTGATTTTGCAAAGGCCTTTGACACAGTAGACCACAACATTCTACTGCACATAATAAACAACTCAGGTATTGGTGATCGTCCGCTAACCTGGTTTCGATCATATGAATCAGGTCGCTCACAATATGTGTCCATTTCTGACAGTGACTTCCTCCCTCTCCCAGTCACGTGTGGTGTTCCCCAAGGTTCCATTCTTGGCCCACTACTATTCACATTATTTATAAATGATCTGTCTAATGTCTACAAATCTTCAAATGTACACATGTATGTATATGATACAGTAATCTATGCAAACAAATCTGATCTACCGCAGCTTGAGGCTGTGTGCCAATACCAGAGGTAGAAAAGTGGATCACAAAATACAAACTCCTAAACACTGACAGAACTGTCACAATGATCTTTGGAACATCCCCTAAATTACACAAATTACACAATTCCCATCTCTGCATCAAAACAAAACCTAATAGCACACTGATCGCAGTCCACTCTTTCAAATACTTGGGTATGTAGTTAGACCCCAATCTATCTTTTGGCCTCCACATAGAAAAACTTGCATCTAAACTGTATCCAAAACTAGGTGCCCTGTACATAAACAAATCCTGCCTAAACCCTACAGTAAAGATAAAGATAGTACAGCAAATGCTGATGCCAATCATTGATTATGGGGATGTAGTAAATGTACCTGCACCACAAACCCACCTTAATTAACTTAATACATTGTATAACTAGTTCTTCCGCTTTGTGCTACAATGTAATTACAGGACCCACCATTGTGACATGCTAAAATAACTAAACTGGTTGTCGCTGGAATTCAGACGCACCCTTAATCTTTCCAGCCTTGTGTTTAAGAGCTTTTCTGGGAAGCTCACACCCTACCTGAGCAGAATGCTCTTCCTGGCTGCTCCCACCTCCTATAACCTCTGATCCAGTACCAGCACTTTATTTAGTCTACCTTAATACAAAAAGAAAGCAGCTCGATCATCCTTTTCCTCTAGAGCACATCAATTATGGAACGACCATCCGCACACTTTCAAATCTTCCCTCTCTACATATCTCAAAACAGAATGCACCTGTCATGATTGATTATGTATTTCCTACCTGTTCTATGTTACATTTTGTATATATTGTGTATTAATATAGTTTTTTTGTATTTTATTGTACCCTATTGTATCAATGCAATGTTTTGTGGACCCAAGACATACTTGAAAACGAGAGAAATCTCAATGTATCCTTCCTGGTAAAATAGTTTATAAATAAATAAATTAATTAATTAATCTGTCTGGGAATGATACATGCAGTCATTCCTTCCTATCATTATGTGCTGGAAAACAAATAAGAACCATGGTGGATAAAATGAGTGAGAAGTGTTGTACACAGGAATTCAAGTAGAAAGAAGCACTGCCAACCATCAGAAGGTATTCAGAAAAAATGGTTCACATTCTCCAATTTAAGGTTTATTATCAAATTGGACACATATATGATTAAGGCAGCAAGGCTGCATTGTTGTATGTTATTGTGCCATTTCTGGTAATAAACCTTTGAATTGGATCTGCTATTGCTGTGAAGCTTATGAATCTCTTTTCAAGAAGCATAGTGGGGCAGAGGAGTGGTCAATATTGCTATCCTATCGATGACATAATAGCACATTTTACCATTCCCTTTATAACTAGAGCAAAATGTTCTTAATCGTACCAGTGTTCCTAATAGTGTAGACCACAACCCCTAATGATCTCAAGTAAAACATTATTCAAACCTGACATTAAATAAAATAAAAAAGAAAAGAAAAGAAAATGTTAAGTCTCTAACGTTTACTGAGCTGTTGAGTTGTGCAAAAAATGTGAAACGCGAAAGTAATTCTGTAAGTACAGCTGCAGTACACTGTCACTCACAAGCAGTCAAGCTATTTTAATGGAATTACTTTTATGTTCTGTCTACTAGAACTTCAAGGCTGTCAAGAGTGCTGGAACTTTGTACCTATCTAGAATGTTAATGTAAAATATATGTTATGTTATGACCATACAAGATTCAAAAGTACATTTTATTTTCAAGTGAGTAATTAATATGAATAATACTGTGGGATATTCATAATATAAAAAATACATATGATCTAATTGTATATGAATCAAAAGTAAAGGAAACCCTTATTGAGAGATCCCTAATATGGTATTTGGGGGATTAAGGAATTTCCTTTACTTTTGATTCATATATAATTTTAAGGGTTATGCCCTGGATGGAATTGGTACCACCCACACTTACCAACCCTTATTTGAAATAAGGGTCAATCTATCAATCCTTTTCTAGATAATCTAATTATTCTATTTGTATTACAGATGTTCAATGGGACAATTTGCTGCACTGGCTGGCACAGGAGCTAACAGAAGAAGATGCATCATTGCTAGTTCTGTCCCTTCCTATTCGGCGCAGCACCATTCAACTTGTGAAACTCAAAAGTCCAGATAACCTGACTGAACAGATCTATGAACTCCTCACATTTTGGAAAAAGAGCCTTCCGACATCAGCAGACAAGTTACGACTCTTAGCACGTCATCTGCGCAAAAGTGGTCGAAGCAACCTAGTGGAAACTCTCCAAACGAAATGGGAAACAAATACATTCTACCAAAAGCCATTATAAAACCAAGCTTACTATGTTCTGATATTCACACTGAAACTCCACTATTTGTATTGCTTGTTAATTATATTTTTATGCAAGCTTAAAATAAAATATTTTTGCAAAAAGAAATTCGAACTAATATTGTTTCTTGTAGTAAATTCACATTTTCATGAAAGTATATTAAAATGTATATATTCAAAGTAATAGATGATACAGACAAAGAAGAGTTAGCCCAGGAAATAACAATTGGAGGATAAGAGAAAAAATGTCAAATTAAAATGCACAAAGATTTAAGCACTCACACACATATACTCACACACTATAACACATGAAAATCTAATGTACACATGCATATACCCTTGCATGTTATAGGAAACAATGCCCTATTATTTTGCATCTGTATGGTGGGGTTAGCACAGCCAACCAAAGGTTATAAAATGGTAATTAATTTCCCTTACATAACTAGTATTCTACTGATCAGGATTAAAGGTGAGACACATATTCTGATTTTACACGTACAATGAGATCACTAAGTAAACATATATTTCAGGCTGGGTATGCTGTTGCATTCAAAACCAGACATGTTTACCCTTCTAAATATTTATTTTAATACATTGATTACCTACAGTAAAAAAAAAAGATAATGAAAGGTAAATATATAACAAAATTAGTGTTCTTTTATTTGATTTCACTTAAGAAATATATATCCCAAAGTGTTTTGAATATGCAATTTAATCAGTATATGATATAATAAGCGATACATTTGGAGTTTTGTGATTGTAGGTTGTATAAGAGTTTACTGAATTTAGAATTTATAGATTTCATTTTCTACCACAAGATGGTGCTCACTGACTTTTAGTAAGTGCTCATTTTCCAATTTCATAGAAATGATTAGTCAGTTTATTGTAGTATATAATGTTAAAATTGTATCAGTTTAAATCATTGATATATGTAAATAAGCAATCAAAAACAATTGATCATGTATAAAGAAATTCTCAGAATACAAATTATCCATCCAGGTACATCTATCTATATTTTTAAATATTTAATTTATTAATTTAGTTTCTGTAAATAATGGGTTAATTCAGTAAATTTGGTAATTGTCAGTTCAACACAATTATAAATTCCATGAATAAATCCCCAACTATTTGCCAGTGAAGAAGCAAACATAGAGTGGATGTCTGCAATAAAAGTAAAAGATAGCAGAGCACTATGGAGGACTGACAAAGGAACAGAACTAATTATTTATTTTGCTTTACTAGAGTGTATACAATTTGCAGTTCTTGTTTTATGACTCCACAATTCTTGGTTCAATGAGCAAACATCAGTCTCACATAGTAACAAATGTAGAATAATTATTTAAAAATGCACTGGTTTTCAAACATAATAAAAATTATATATAAATATATTTTTAAATACACGTTTGTTAAATGTTTTGACTAGTTAAGAAATCCTTACATTTAGAGAACCACCTAAATGAGCGATCAATTCATTAAAGGAACTCTATAGCGTTAGGAATACAAATGTGTATTCCTAACGCTATAATGCTTTAGTCACCATTTAGGTGGCTGAGTCGCTGCTGCTATGGTTAAAATGGTGAGTTTACTTATAATTTCTCCCTCACAACGATGGTCTCCTGTGTGTCACTCCACCTCTTTGGCTGAGATCATTGAGATCGAGGATATCAGCCAATCCCATGCTGAGATCTACGATTGAAATAGTGGAGTTTTTCTCAACTATTCTGTGAAAGTGCCTCAGTATGTCAGTAAGACAACCACTAGAGGCAGGTTAATCCTGCAAAGAACTTTGCAGGAATATTTTTAGTTGCAGGGTTAAAATGAGAAGGAGGAGGGGAGGGACAAGGCACCCCTACCACTTTATTGAAATGAAGTGGCCTCTGTGCCTATAGTGTTCATTTAATTCTTTGTAGTAAACCTAGGTGAAGAGTCCCTTTACTATTTATTCACTAAACACTAAAATGTGGTAATTTAACACACTGCAAACTGTGTTAACCTCTACCACTTCAGCTGGAAGGCTATTCTATGCGTCCACTACCCTTACTGTAAAGTAATGCTTCCGGAAATTATTTTTAAATTTTTTCCCCCTCTTGTTGTGGTAGTTTTTCTTATTTTAAATATAGTCTCCTCCTTTACTGTGTTGATTCCCTTTATGTATTTAAATGTTTCTATCATATCCCCCCGTCTCGTCTTTCCTCCAAGCTATACATGTTAAGATCCTTTAACCTTTCCTGGTAAGTTTTATCCTGCAATCCATGAACCCGTTTAGTAGCCCTTCTCTGAACTCTCTCTAAAGTATCAATATCCTTTGGAAGATACGGTCTCTAGTACTGCGTACAATACTCCAAGTGAGGTCTCACCAGTGTTCTGTACAATGGCATGATCAGTTCCCTCTTTCTACTGCTAATACCTCTCCCTATACAACCAAGTATGCTGCTAGCATTTCCTGCTGCTCTATTACATTGTCTGGCTACCTTTAAGTCACCTGAAATAATTATTCCTAAATCCCTTTTCTCAGATGTTGATGTTAGTAGGGTATCAAATATTCTATACTCTGCCCTTGGGTTTTTACACCCAAGATGCATTATCTTCCACTTATCCATATTAAATGTGAGTTGCCACAGCTCTGACCATTTTTCTAATTTACCTAAATCATTTACCATTTGGCTTATCCCTCCTGGAACATCAACCCTGTTGCAACTTTTGGTATCATCAGCAAAAAGACATACCTTACCATTAAGACCTTCTGCAATATTACTAATAAAAATATTAAAGAGAATGGGTCCAAGTACAGATCCCTGAGGTACCCCACTGGTGACAAGTCCAAGCTTCGAATATATTCCATTAACTACAACCGTCTGTTGTCTGTCATTCAGCCATTGCCTAACCCATTCAACAATATTGGAATCCAACCTTAAAGATTGCAGTTTATTGATGAGTCTTCTACGTGGAACAGTGTCAAAAACCTTACTGAAATCTAGGTAAGCAATGTCTACTGCACCACCCTGATCTATTATTTTAGTTACTAAATAAAAAATATCAATAAGATCAGTTTGGCATGATCTCCCTGAAGTAAACCCATGTTATATCTGATCTTGAAATCCATGTGATTTTAGATGTTCAACAATCCTATCCATGGTTTCCATCATTTTCCCCACTACTGAAATAAGGCTTACTGGGCGATAGTTGCCTAACTCCTCCCTACTATATTGCTTGTGAATGGGTACAGCATTTGATAATTTCCAGTCCTCTGGGACTACTCCTGTTAACAATGATTGGTTAAATAAATCCGTAAAATCGATTTTGCTAGTACACCACTAAGATCTTTTAATACCTTTGGGTGTATTCCATCAGAAATTTGTCTTTACGTTTGACAGTTGGAATAAAACCTCTTTCTCTGTAAATTCACCTGTTACAAATGACTAAATTGTCCTTTTTTTTATTCTTTATTTTTATTGTGCATTGTTAGAACAAAAAGCATCAGGCATGGCATTACAGGAAAACATTATAATATAACAATATAACTGTGCTTGCAAGCCAGCATAACTGCACACATTATTATTTTTGTAAGTAAAGTATAGAGCAGAGTGGATTAAATCAAGATTATAACAGTAGGATAATAGTAGAGTAGAAAGAGAAAAGAAACCCCTAGGAGGACCCCCTGATAGACAGACTGTTAACCCCCTTTGGGAATATAGAAGTATGCTCCCACATCATACAATAACAATGGGTGCAGTCCTGTGACACCTTGCAGGAGATGGCAAGTTCAAGGTTCCGTCCCGAGATCAGCCAATGCTCGGCTGGAGTAACCCACTGTCCAGCCACAAGTGTCTCAAGATTGGGTCAAGTATCTCAGGTAAGTGAAGGCATACCGGCTTGGAAGAAGAATATGACAGTCTTAATGACGTCTGTATGGTGTTCCCAGGAGGCGTCAAGACCCTGAGTGGGTTGGGGTGCAGGCATTTCGGAAGCTTCAGGTCAGGTCGTGGCTGGTAGCAGGAATTTGGGAATGTGGCTACTCTGCTGTGGTGAATCCCAGCTGCATCGGAATTCCGACGTGTAGCCTTGCGACTCGGCAAGTGCAGTCGTCTCCTTCGCCGTCTTTGGCGAGCTCCCTTAACCCTTTGTGACGGGAGCGTGGATACTTAGGTAAGTGATATCTCACTGGTTGCTTGAGAAAGAGTTTTCTCCAGAAGGCTGCAAATATGCTGTCCAGCTTGGTTGCGATGTCGATGTACCCGGGAGAGCACGTGGCATCTGCCATTGCCGACAATCAGTTTGCTCGACATCACCTTCCAGATTCAGCCTCGTTGTCCCCCAGAGGTGGACCAGGATCACCCCCACCGGTCCTGAGGGGGGGAATGGGACCCTTCAGTTGTGGTATGCCAGCGAGAGAGCAGTGTATCGCGTCCCAAGAGAGCGGCCGCCTCTCTCGTCTGATGGTTCCACCGGGCCTCACTCATGTCTTCAGGGTATACCGTCCTAGGTGCATGTAACCTCAGTCCAAGGTACCCCTGTTGGCTCCACATACAGACAGGCTTCAAGTTGTGTCTGCTCAGCACTCTGCGAGTGGTATTTTAGACGTTTAGTGTGAGTTAAGTGAGGAGCTCTCACAACGTGCGACCAGATGCCATGAGTTATAGGCCCGGCTGTCCTTTTTCTTAACTGAAGTCCCTCTTCATTTTCAGCTGTAAATACTGGACAAAATATTTGATTGAGGCAGTCAGCCAAACCTTTATACTCTTCTACATACCTTCCTTCTTTTGTTTTTATATCTATCTAATCCTTGTTTTACTTTTCTTTTCTCATTTATGTATCTAAAAAATGTTTTGTCCCCCTTTTTTACTGACTGTGCTATTTTCTCTTCTGTGTTTGATTTAGGAGCTCTTATAACTTGCTTAGCCTCTTTCTCCCTAATCTTATAGATCTGTCTACCTTCCTCACTCTGGTTTTTTTCTGCTCTTCCTGACAAGCCTAATTGTAGTGAAACTTTTAAATAATCCCATTTCTCCTGGACTCCATTTAAACTGCTCCAGTCTGATAATGACTCCTTTACACATATTCTTATTTTAGAAAAGTCTGTTTTTCTAAAATCTAAAACTTTTGTTTTTGTGTGGGGTGACTCAGTCACTGTTCTTATATTAAACCACATTGACTGGTGATCACTAGATCCTAAACTTTCACCTACAGTAATATCTGATAACAAATCTCCATTTGTTAACACTAAATCTAGTATGGCCTCAATACGAGTTGGCTCCTCAATGACTTGTTATAGAGACAATCCCAGTAGGGAGTTTAGAATATGTGTGCTCCTGGCACAAGCAGCTATTTTGGTTTTCCAGTTCACATCAGGAAGATTATAGTCACCCATGATAACTTCGCCTTCATTGTCCTTTTAGCTATTTCCTCAACTAGTAGATTATCTAACTCTTCTATTTGTCCAGAACAAATGGTAGAACAAATGTGAAAACATATATAGTTCTTATGTAAACTGCAATTTACTGTTGATGTACACTCCACAGTATTTAGCTCAATCTAAGTAATGCCACAGTAATGCGTGATATTTTCTGTATCAGGTAAAATAATGTTGTTTATGTATTTTCATTAAAATAGGTTGTCAAGATACCTTTTGTAATGTAGTTCAACTGCTATTTATACATGTATGTGCTGACTCAGAAAGTAATATGTGAAAAGTACTTCAAACGATGATGCTAATAAACATAAATTAAAATTGTACTTTTTGTGTCAGTGTTGCTTAAGAATTGGCTTGATAGATTGTCTGAACACCTTCTTCAATTAAAAATGTCAATCTTGTTTATTCTGCACTAGCAATATATTATTTCCAACAGATGGCTTAAATAAAAAAATCTGCATTAAAAAAACTAAGACTTGAAATGCTACAGGTTGGCATTGAGTTTGAAGAGACATTTTAGAAATAAGAGTTTATTTGTATGAGTTTTCCATCATGTTTTAAGGATTTTGCAAGCATTTTGTAGAATGACAGTGGGAAGACTAATCATGATTGATTCCATCTGTGTTCCTGTTGTACTGGCAGATACAGGGGATTATGGATTTTAAATTTCAAGCTCAATATGGTTTATTTATATGTCAGTTAAGTGAACGACATATTGAAATTCACTTTGGCATTCAAAGGATCAACGTAAAGTATATAAAATACACTTATTCATGAAGAACTTTAAAGGAACATTAAATGCTACAGCACAGTTAAATCTTGCAAGAGACTTATGGTTTACTGGATGGTTTCTACAGTTTCTGTCCTCACGTACACAACACAAACAATGTGTATCAGCACACACAAAATATACAGTTTCATTTTTTTTTCAAGGTCATAGATGATAACGTCTTTCTTATACAAAATATGCAAAATATGGTGTCACACCATTAAATGATAACGTCTTAAGTCCACCACTAAATGAAAGTATACCAGTTTTGGTGGGTTCTTAATTTATTTTAACATAGGAGATACATCTGACATTAATTTCTTTGCTGCTTTACAAGAGTTAGATGAACTTGTATTTGTTCAATATTTGTATATGCACTGGACAGATATATAGGATTAGTTTTATAGCTATGAAGGTCCATTGAAGGGAGGTGATTCCCGAGGATCTTACCTATCACACTCAGCCAAACACAACTGGAACTGTATGCAGCCATAGGAATTGGACTTTACACCCATCTTCACCCATCTCCATACTTTCCTATATTCAGGAGTCAAAGATGCAGTACATCATGGGTGGGATCTGATCCACAGTCCTGCCCAGGATTTTACCTATCACACTCAGCCAAATACAACTGGAACTGTATGCAGCCATACTAATTGGACGTTACACCCATCTCCATACTTTCCTAGATTCAGGAGTCAAAGATGCAGTACACCAGGGGTGAGATCTAATCCATATTCCTGTCAGGTTATATACATTGTTTTTCTCTTTTTTTAAATTTTTTCACTTTTTTTATTTTTTCCTTTTTTTTCTCTTTTTTTACTTTTATATATATACCTCCTGTGCACATAAAATAATTTGAATGTATACACATTTTTTTTTTGCAATATAGGGAGATATTCCCTGTTTGTTCTCATCTTTTGCTACGTGGAAATCCCGTGCTGCAAACATTTTTTACTATAGTATACAGTACAACCAATGTATGTTACATCAAATATGATCACTGCTGAAATTAATTATTTGTTTAATTATCTTTTCTTGATGGAATGAACTACACAAAAAGCAACTAGTGAACTACAAATAAGATTATTTCCCTTAGTATTAATTATTTAGTATTAGTATTAATATGTATGACATCATTGTGTGGTCATCAAATAGGCAGTTGTTGTCCTTGTACAATGTAACAATGTAAAAATGTAACACGTTTGTGTATATAAAGATCGATATCATTATATATCCATTATACGAATTTTTTTATTTTTTTTTATTTAAGAATCAATAGATGAGTTATTTTATAATTTTGCCGTTTTATAATTGTTCATTCTTCCCTATCTTCTTTTACTTGTACAATAATGGACTATATGCGTATGAATTTTCATAAGGATGGACAGTATACTTCCACTGTATATTTGACTTTCAACCTATTACCAGAAATAATTGCCCACACTTAGGATGTCTGCACAGCCTCTACAGGAAGTGACACATAAGGGGCACATCCCAGATACGGACTTGAGATGGGTGGTCACACTTGATTTTACCTCTGGTCCACAATGTCATTTCTGATTTTGGATCATTAGATGCTGCAGCTGGTGAATACGCACCCTTGAATATCAGCCAACGATTGGCCACCGGAGGAAAGCGGTGCCCAATCAGAGGAATACCTTACGAATATTAACATTGAGTCAGCAGGAAACATACATGCCGATTGAGAAAGCCGCTTGGCAAAACGAGTCTCGGTGAGAGGAGGACCACCCAGGATCCTATATACTGTTATTGTTATTATTTATATCCACATTTTATTTAAAAAAATGTATTTTGTAACAATAAAGTGTATTTTTCTTAACTTTATTAAGTCATGTGGGTCCTTACTGCTTCCTATCTGCTGCACAAGAAGTGTTGTGTTCCCCTTAATGACACACACACTATAATACAGGGATCCTAGTATATCTGGCTCCGAGAAGGTGAGCAATTACTTGTACAATCTGCACTAGCATATTATCTCCCTTTTTTTCTCCACATTGAGGAAGATTGAACCAAGATCCAGAGAAGGGTCTGGTATTATCTAATATACCACTGCCCATGAGATTTGAGCTCTATACCATGTGAGTGTGGTCACCACCTTTATAAATACAGGGAGTGCAGAATTATTAGGCAAGTTGTATTTTTGAGGATTAATTTTATTATTGAACAACAACCATGTTCTCAATGAACCCAAAAAACTCATTAATATCAAAGCTGAATATTTTTGGAAGTAGTTTTTAGTTTGTTTTTAGTTATAGCTATGTTAGGGGGATATCTGTGTGTGCAGGTGACTATTACTGTGCATAATTATTAGGCAACTTAACAAAAAACAAATATATACCCATTTCAATTATTTATTATTACCAGTGAAACCAATATAACATCTCAACATTCACAAATATACATTTCTGACATTCAAAAACAAAACAAAAACAAATCAGTGACCAATATAGCCACCTTTCTTTGCAAGGACACTCAAAAGCCTGCCATCCATGGATTCTGTCAGTGTTTTGATCTGTTCACCATCAACATTGCGTGCAGCAGCAACCACAGCCTCCCAGACACTGTTCAGAGAGGTGTACTGTTTTCCCTCCTTGTAAATCTCACATTTGATGATGGACCACAGGTTCTCAATGGGGTTCAGATCAGGTGAACAAGGAGGCCATGTCATTAGATTTTCTTCTTTTATACCCTTTCTTGCCAGCCACGCTGTGGAGTACTTGGACGTGTGTGATGGAGCATTGTCCTGCATGAAAATCATGTTTTTCTTGAAGGATGCAGACTTCTTCCTGTACCACTGCTTGAAGAAGGTGTCTTCCAGGAACTGGCAGTAGGACTGGGAGTTGAGCTTGACTCCATCCTCAACCCGAAAAGGCCCCACAAGCTCATCTTTGATGATACCAGCCCAAACCAGTACTCCACCTCCACCTTGCTGGCGTCTGAGTCGGACTGGAGCTCTCTGCCCTTTACCAATCCAGCCACGGGCCCATCCATCTGGCCCATCAAGACTCACTCTCATTTCATCAGTCCATAAAACCTTAGAAAAATCAGTCTTGAGATA